TGACGCGGTACGGACAGCCACGACACGGCACGGCACGAGTCGCGTGGCTCGTGTCAGTGATTTTGCCGAAGACTGCTGCTGCTGCTGCTGCTGCTGCTGCTGCAGTGCCATTGTGATGCGGATGCGTTGTGTTATTTCTCAGCTCTCCCACACATACACATGCGCAACTCACACACAAATACACAAAACGTATACGTATACATATACGTATACGCGACTGTGTACATATGTATGTATATGTATACACAACAAACCCGTATACCGTATACGTCGTATAGGTGACTCGCCCTTACTCGCCCACTCGATTTTGGGGGTTGGAAAAGCATCGCTGCCTGTCGTGCTGCCCTGTCTCTGTTGCTGACTCTGGCGCTGGCTCTGGCCTTTCTCTTGCCCTGCAAAAAGTTTTCATTTTAAACGAGAAAACAGTTGATGGTTCATTCGGTTCGGGACGTTCGAAGCGGAAGTATACGCCAAACGGCTAAACAATCAATTCAATATTTTTTTTCATCTTGCCAACGCTTGGATCGCGTCAAACCCATCGGTGTTGCTCTAAATAATTTCCAAAAAATGTTAATGTTAATATACATGTTTTTGTTTTATTTGCTGTTCTTGGTCAATTGCTGATTTGCTGTTAATATTTTTTTTCAAAGTGCTTCAACTTGGTGCTAAAAAAAAGAATAAATTCTTTACTTTTTTTTTTTCAAAAAAACTGATGTGCATAAATAAGTTTATTCTCAGCATAAAATGTTTTGAGAATATGCCACACTACCAGCTGTTTGTGTGTAAATGGTAGTAACACCTTTGGGACAATACGTTATAACTTGTTATCAATCAAAGAGACGTGCCGGTAAGAATCAGAGAGCCCCAATTAACCAAAAAATAAATATAAAAAATAAACATACAAATCTATATACGACTACGTATTTCAAATGTTTTCCTAATACGCGTCAAAATATTTTAGCATACAATTAGTTAAATGCATAAATTAAGCATATCTGACAACTGAATCAAGGTCTGATAATTTCACATACCCACCTGAATTCGGGGGTAACAGGTGTCCGTGAGAAATGTTTTCTCTGTGGTTAGTCCGCCGGTATATTTTGATGAAACCGTACCTTTTGCCACTTACATACTCGTGGATATACATATGCATATAATTTTAATACCCAATCCCAAGCATATTTATCGTTCAAAAACTACCTAAATAACGTTAATTTCAAGAGATTCCAAGAGACGGAAACGGATGCAAAGCGATAGCTGCTAAGTCGATCTACATATTTATATGTACCACTTAACTGCAATCTTGTTTGACTATCCCCCACAAGTCAGCGGATTTCAATGCGCTCAAGAATCCTTGAGGCGACAAGCTCCCCGTACACTAAAGCTAAGGTAAAACTCACCGACTGCTCACGGCTAAGGGCTATGACTTACACACGACTTAAAGCCGCATGTAAGACTATACTTACACTCAAATGTTTGTGTGCATGTAAATGCATATTACTCACTTGAGTTAATCCCAGAGCTATCGTTTATGGAAACACACATGTATCTTCAGTTACTTTTCCAATGGAAATGGCAAAAGGATTTGAATTTGACTTCTTTGTAGAGTTAGATCCAGTTTTACACCAATGTGGATAGACCTTCTGTGGCAAGGGTATAACCATTCAAGACCGTTCGTCAGCCAGCTAAGCGGGTGTGTTATTCCAACGAGCACAATAAGCAGCAGAGGCGCTTTTAAATTGTACCGCTCTTGGCCTTTGTGTATGGTCGTTCTTTGCTATTGAAGCACAATTAAGTCGCGTTTGGTCGACACTAGCAGAGCAGCAGCCCAAACCAGACAACCAGCGAACCAAGCCAAGCCGCCAGTCAAACAAAAAGTCAACCAGCCCAGCCAGCGAACCATCCCAGCCATCCCATCCCATCCCGTCCATCGAACTATATCTTTGTCCACTGTCACGGTCTATTGCCTTCGCAATACACTTGCACCGCACATTTAAATTGCAACTTTTTCTGTCCATAGGCAAGCGCAGGGCAATTTTTATAAAAAAGTATCTATACGGTTGAGCATGCATACATATACATAGTATGTATTTAAATATATGCACATTTACATATCTATATGTACATCCAAAGAAAATGGAAGGTGAAGAGATTGTTGGATAGGGTGAGGTTTACCTTTACAACGTTTCTGATAATGGGGATATACACGGTATGGGGACAATGTATGTCATGGCTAAGATTCTTTGTGACAATAAAATATACATACAATATATTCAAATTTGATTAATACCTAGACAAACCTGTACATTTACGTGCCTCTAAAAGGCTAAATTTAAGCAGGAATTTCCACAGCTAGCCATTAACTCTACCCAAAATCGAATGGTAACTCGTATGCTCTTTAGTTTTGCAATGCAGTTTTAATGACGTTTATGACGATAGCTGATGATGGGATAACAAAAAGTGGCGGTATCAACAAAACAAAAGTGGCAGACAAACAGACAAACAGACAGACGGACAGACACAGACATTTTCGTTGGTGTCTGTCAAGCCAGAGCAGTAAACTTGACTATTGATACAAAAGCGAGTGATAAATGTACAACAAGATGGCAAAGTAGTTGTTGTTATTGTTGTTTCTGGGTGGGTGGGTGCTCGGATGATGCCGGAAATGTGCGTGTTACAATACTCAAACACACACAGCCACTCGCACTCACAGACACTCACAGACTGTGACAGTGGTCGCTACGGTTGCTTCAACTTCCGCTTCATATGTTGGGTGTTCGGATGTGTGTGTGTGTGTGTGTGTGCGGTGTAAGTGTTTGGCCGCAACAAAGAGGTTTCACAACATCCGCCGTCACATCCGAATCGGCATCCGCAAGCAGCAGCAGCAGCAACGGCAGCAGATCTACCGCCAGTAGTCAGTCGTTTGAACTTTATCAAATGAAGTAGAATAAAATGTACGCATTTTTAACTCCTAGTCTTGATGCATTTCAAAAGTACTCAGAAGCCTGGGCAGCCGTGTCTGGCCTTTCTCCAACTGTCACCGCAATCGTATGCATATTAGTGCACATCAGTTTATGATGAACTCTTGACTATTCTTAAGTAAATCCTACTTTAAAAGCTGCACTTTTCGATTGCCAATAGTCCCCACTTGTTGCATTACTCATAATTAAATTATTCAACAATATTTTGATGTGCAAAAAGGGCTCCATTGACACATAGTTTGATTATTTCTGCACTCTTCATTCTGCATCCGCATACGTCACTCGAAACATAATTTGTTTTTCTTTTTTTTTGTATGTAGAGCTGCAGGAAGCCAGTTGCTAAAAGGCCAGCCACTTCTTTTACTCCATGCACGAGTCTTTATAGAATTATCACTGCATATGTATGTATGGTATGTACGTTCCGTTGCCTCTAAGCTGGCGAATGGCGGCTGACGGCGGGGCAAAGGGTCGTCCGGGGCTACCGTGGGGGTATGTGGCTGTTCCTGTGGCTGTGACTGCGGTCGAGGCTCGAACCAGGAGTCTGGTGCGTTCGTTTGTGCCGTTTTTAATATAATTAGGTACTGTAAATTGTATTGGAAAACAAAAAAAAAACAACAACAGGATCCAGCAACAGCAGCAGCAAATTGGTTGTCACTGCAGCATCATTGTTGTACGTTGACTTTACGTCCAATAATTCGATTATATACTGGGCTTTTTATCGAGCAAAAGGCAAAGGCATCGACATCGACATTGGCATCGGCATTGCCAGCCACTGCATCCACCCTTTTATGGCACTTTGAGTGCATTAGATCCAAATTGGCTGGCAGCAAACTTTATTATTGCGGTTGAGTACGGGTATGTGCACACACACACACACACACACGCACACGAACATCCATCCCTTTTTAACTTTATGTACATATAAGATGGAAAAAAGCGAATGTCCAACCTACGCTAATGTACAGTCAGGCTTTTGTGTTAAAATAGCAGACAACACAGTGACAAACCAAAGGATGGCAAACTGTTGTATCCAAAAATCTCGAGCATTAATAAAGCAATTAAAATCGGGAAAACTGTGACAGCAGAAGGTGGAAAGACAGCCAAGTTCATAATTTTTGAAAAATGTTTGCTCTTAGTTTTTCCTTAGAGCAGCAACAAAAATATCCCCGATCCCGAGGCTTTTTTATGCATTGCGCCCTGCAGGTATGCACTAAAGCGGAATAAAATGTTATCACTTTGCAAAATTGGTCATTGGCAAGTGCTAATATGGGTCTAACCCAAAACACACACACAATATTTATGTATATGTGTAGAGACAGAAGGTACAGGCGGAACAGGCGCAGACAGCACAAATCTTCAGAGGGAAAACAACCCCTTGGAGCCCCCGACGCTGCCGCCCCGTGTAAATTGTAATGTGATTTTGCTCCTCGCACAACTGACGCCCAAGAAAGTGGAAAGACAAATACCCCGAAACCAAAAGTCGTGTCCTGCAAACATCGTTTTCGGTTTGATTACCCCACCACTGGCAGTGTTAGCTGTTAACAACATTTCTATACCTATACCCCAATACCCCCAGCCCAGGCCAGCCCAGGCACCATCGTGCCCGAATCCTGAGTCCTGAATCCTGGTGTTTGATTCTCTCGCCTACCACTGCCACAGCCACTGCCACTGTGAGTGCCTCTGGCCAGACCGCCTTTAGGACTCTGACTGGATGTTGCTTCATCGTGTGACTTGGAAAACTTCCTGGGCTTTTCATTTTACGGTTGAATTATGGGAAGAAGATTTCAAGTTTAAAATGTACAGAAGTGCACAAAAGTGTTAGGCTCTCACCTGCCTATGTAAATATGTATATAGTAAATGTACATACAAAAAAATGTATGTAAGAGTATCTACATATGTATGCACAATTACATATATTTACTCGTCTCCGCCCGGCAACTGGTCCAGAAATTCACTAGACTAATAAATAACTTATGTTTCTTACAACGTTTTTATTCAGTTATAAAACAATTGCTTTCACAAATAGATGGGGCTGGGAACCTTAAGAATTTTTTTACCAAATACATAAACATTTTGTATTACTTGAGAAGCGAGCTAGATTTTGGAATTCACAACTAAATGGATCCCATTACCCATTAGGAATCATGAAATTTTGCCTAAAATATTCCGCGAAGACAGGCAATCACGAAAACCAAGTGAGCGAAATCAATCATATAACATAGCAGCGCAGTTTGTGGTGGATTCAATTCTAGTGGCTTAGCAGAGGCTGTCAAATATTTAACAGGTGAAATAAGCTCAAGCCGCATGTTGTCGATGGGCTTAAAAGCCGACATATCCTTTATTGAGTCCACTGATTCAGTCAATGATTCGCAGTCACTTTCGTCACTGTCAATTTCACGGATAGATATCACCCGATTCTCTGAACATACCCGCATCACTGATAGCTCTGGCACATCCAATGATCGCTTTTTATTGTGGACGTCATCGGTAGAGATTGAACGGCGCATTAATTCTCGAGATTCAGCCGTGAAAACATGAATCTCGTGGTCAAGTTTTGGTTTCTGAGCATTCTTCTTTTCCTGTACAAATTTGTGTTTGTGCAAATGGGGCTTATGCAATTGTTTAGTCCTAAAACTTCCCAAGAAGCGACTCATGTTGGTTTTGTACTGGGATTGAGCAACGAAAGTTAGCGGCAGTTTACCATCATCTGTGCTTAAGTCTTTCTCACTGATTAAAATACGTTTGCCAGTAAGTTTTGCGGTTTGTATGGCTTCACCCATCTGGATCATTGTTGGATTCGTTAATTTGATAATGCCATCGCTTAGCCTGCCCTCAATTTTTGAAACAACTTGGACTGTATCCAAGGGTGGAGACTTCTTCACGATGTGACAATTTTTGAGTCCATTTCTTAGATTTAAATTGATTGAGCGCATTGTCACTTTTGTATTCGGCGCTCGGTGCTTCTGATTGTCGTTGGTTTCATTAAAATTTATTTTTTGTATTTTTTGCTGCGCGCCAGTAAAGAGAACCTTACTTACTCTATAAAGGAAACGATTAATTTTGATCAATACTCTCCAATTGTATGCTTACAAGTTCAGAAACATGATGGCTTTTATCGTTTCTTTACGTTTGTTTATTATTTATGAAGATTGTGATGTGATTTGTAGGTAATGTGAGTCAGTTCTGAATACTTTGAACGATTTTGTTGGAATGTTAGCGCAGAGCATACTATAAAACTAAAAACTATTTTCACATTTTGCGAAAGTTGAAGAATAAGAAAATAACTATCAAAAGTGCGATTTTAAATGTTTTTCCAGAGCCGGTTAAGAATAAAATAATCAGAATAAATTCTGCCAGTCAGTTGATATCCTTGAAAAGGGTATCATGCTTAGAATTGCTCAGTGGGAAGCTGAGTATACATATACTTTATAAAATATAACCATATCAAAAGCAAATCTCTAAAAAGATGAGTTCCCATTTCTAAACTTATTTCTCAGTTTATCTCAGAAGATAAATCAACAAATAGTTTCACTTTATTTTTGTCGTACCATCAGAAAAAATCGTTTAAAAACTCAGACGATAGATATGTAAATTTATTTGTCATCTATATTTTAGAGTATAGAAACTTCGGTCCGTAAAAGTTAGCTTTGCCTCTGGTTTGTATTTTTTTGTAGCCAATTCCTTTTTCCCCCTAATTCTTTTTTTTTTTGCTGTTAGTCGCTTGATTCACGCTGTCCTGTCCTCTACCCGCAGGATGAACTGTCTGCATTTTATAAGCAGTAAAACAGACAGAACCGAACAGTAGCCGTGCCGCGCTGGGCCACGACTGTCGGCTTAAGTGACACCCCTCCTCTGAGTGCTGTTCTGCGCACAGAATTTCCTTCCTTCCGTTGAAAGTAAATTACATTTTATTTGATTTTAAGTGAATTATTTACTTGCTTATTTTTGTGGCTGTTACTCCACCATCGACAATATCCATATTTGCAGTAATATATGAACATATCTAACACTCATCAACATTTTTGCTTTCAGCCTACACTCCTCAGTGGTCTGATGCGTGCCATCCACGATGACTGCCTTCAAAGAGAAATTCGATTTTTAAATGTACCGTGAAAAGGTCTTATTCGCATGCTCTCAGGAAATCAGGAAAATTACCCACAACACATCTTTTTTAACAGTCTAAACATTTCAGCAAACGTTTCTGCGTTGTTGATAGACCATCTTTGACCATTGACTTTGAAGCATTTAATCATGAGGAAAATCAAATATGGAAACAACTGCGCAGCGGACAAGACAATGGGCCATCGTACGCCTGAGCAATATAAGTTAAACCATCTATGAAAATACAACTGTTTATTTTCAATGAAATTCGAAAAACTTAGAATTGTTTTAGAGTTTCATTGTTCGTGGACCCTCATTTGTACACTGTAAACACATGTAAATCCAAACAATCCAACATGTGATATATTTCCACTGTGCGTGGAATCTTACTTTCGAGTTTCTAGCAGCATCAGCGTACCAAGACCAATTCTGATATTTATATTATATTTACTTCGAAGAATATTTATTTAGAAGTTTCCTATGCTTAAAATCCACATTGAAGTCGGGTTTCGTTAACAGCGGGCTGTTATGGACAAAACAACAAGTTCGTTGTCGACGAAACCTGCATGCTATGTGGAAAAACAACAACTGCTACGAAAAACTGTGATAAACAAATTATAATTATGTGTGTAGTTACCTATAGCTAAATGAATTTGCTATTTAACGTCTTAACGTATTTAACGAGATGCGTCTTACGCGTCACAACCTTTATACCCGGTACGTAGTTGCAATTTTACATTTGATTTTTACATTATTTCTACGCCCCCCGCGAAATTTTGATACACACTTGCAACAGTGTGAGCATAAAGTCATATAGATGCAAAATTGGGTGGCTCTAGCTCTTATAGTCTCTGAGATCCAGCACAAGAACAAAACGGACAGACGGACAGACGGACGGACGGACAGACGGACGGACGGACAGACGGACGGACAGGCAGACATGGCTATATCGACTCGACTATTGGTGCTGATCAGAAATATATGTATATTATACATATATTTTTCCACAAAAATACTATACACCCTATTTTCTCTTCGAGTACCGGGTATTAAAACGAGGAGGGACGCGTCACAACTTTTATACCCGGTACTCAGTAGTACATCTGTACCATAGTGGTTATTTTCCAGTTTTACATTTTAGGTTTTTTTTTTACATATGTATGTCATATACATCTTCATCACTTCTCACGCCAACACGCTCTTTAAGCTCGCCTCCCTCCCCTAGAGACACAGTCTGCAGGGGCACTGCAGAGGCAGAGGCCGCTGACTGCACGAAGCAGAGTGTGAATGATGTGAATGTGAAAAAAAACAAATATAAGCTGCGCGACAGGGTGGGTTTAGACACTGCAAATTAATTTTTTCATTGTAGCTATAATAATGATCAAAATAGATATAGTCATTTCCTAGGGAATGGCGTTTTTAGTTTTCTTTTATCTTCGAAATTGTGGATACAGCAGATTTTCGCTATTTGCTTGGGCGGATTGGGCCGGGGCAATTTTTTTAAATACATTGGTATCAGTGTGAGCATACAGCAGTCCGGAGCCAACATTTGGTGGCTCTAGCTCTTATAGTCTCTAAGAACTAGCCGACAAACAAGACGTAAGGACGGACGGACAGGCGGACAAACAGAAAGACAGATATAGATTCGGCTATTGATGCTGATTAAGAATATATATACTTTATGGGGGAGCCAACGTTTCCTTCTGTGCGTTACATACATCCACTTTTGTGCACATACACATGAAATATACCCTATTTACCCTTCGAGTCCCGGTTATAAAAAGAACAACCTTGTAGCTTTAACGAATATTAATTTGAATTTGAAACTGAATACCAATAAGTTAATGAACAGGGGTAATTTTTCTTCGAGCACAGCTATCGGGATTTACTTAAAATAGGATTTGCTGGAGTCGATGTAGACCTTGGGCTTTGAGTATAAACGGATCTCCCTATCGACTAAGTCCAGCTCTTTGTTTATTTCGTCCTTTCGACTGCGCACCCACAGACTCTGTGAGGTGAAGGGCATGTGATTTACCTCACGAATGAGATCGTCATAGCGGCTCTGGGCGCTATTCAAGCGGCCTAGACGTTCCTGCTCCGTGAGCAGACTGTGACCGCGTGGACAGTCTGGATCTGGTGTATCGGCAAGCTGTTTGGCCAAAGCGGCGGCGCTTTCACGCTTCATCTTCTCCAAGTAACGCGGAAGACGCAACTGGTCACGTGAGCCAAGCTTGTGCTCGCGGCGCTTGGAACCTATCGAAGTGGTGCTCGTGGCAGTTGACGCCATTGTGGCCACTGTATAGCGGCTGCGGGCACTGAGAGGAGCCTCCTCATCCGAAGCAACTTCAGTGTTTAGATCATAATCGGGCATTGGCATTTTGTTCCAGTCATTCATATTTTTGCGAGGCGAGAGCAGCTCCTCGTCTTCATCATTATCGTTGTACTGATTGGACAGCGTGGATCCACCATCAAAACTGCATCTAAAAGAGTACAAATATGTTACATTAAGGTATGTATGGCTTCAGTTATATTTTCTTACTTTTTAAGGGCATTTGTAAGATAGAGTTCATCCTTGATGTCCTCCGTCTGTGTGCCAATGCTCGTGGCGCTGCGTTGTGTGCCACAAGAACTGCAGTACTCTGAGTCCGTCGAGTGAACAAAATCTTTCTCAGTTTTCTCCGACAGATCATCAAAGGCAGTGTGGGGCTCTTCCAAACCGCCGAAACGCTCGTCAGACTCTGAACCGGCCAGACCCGATTGTTGATACGAACGCAAGCTTTTACGGTTACGTGCCAGGATGGTTTTGTCCTGGGTCTTGTTCTGTTTGTTCTCCGATACCGGTGAAGGTCTGTCTGATTTCGAATCCAACATCTCAGAGCCCTCGCGGCGCATATTTGGCATCCATTTAGGACGCACTGGCTTCTTGGCATCTAGCTTCTCAGTTGTTGATTTCTCAAGCTGGCGCAAGCTCAATTTATTTTCCTTCAAAAAATTTCGACCCCGAACGACTCGCGGCATTGATAAAATGCCTTTCAGTGTTGTTACACGGCGAACTGGTGGGTTGGACATGACGATTCGACGACGATTCGAGAATTTAATAAATATATTTATTATTGGGAAATAATGAAATTTGTGTTGTAGTTAGTTAGTCGAGATGCGACGTTGAATGTTTATGAATTTGTTATGTTCGATGACAACTACATGAATGGCACACTAGTGTGTTTTTAGTAACGTAAAATAATTTAATCAGTTCGTTGGATTTTCAATCAAATATTTGTTATTTAAAAAGGAGACTATTTCAGGATGTAACTTTTTCATTATTATTACTAAATATTATTGGCAAACGAACACAATGAAAATTATATTATTTTGCAATCATATAAATGTACTTTCCGAAACAATTTGTAATCTTTCAGTCACAGCTACACAACTTAAAACGAGAAGGGACGTGTCAGACGCTTCTTACGCGTCACAACTTTTATACCCGGCACTCAGGACTACATCTAGATGTATAAGACATCGCCAACCACTAGATATCGTTCACATTACAGAACACGTAGTAAAAAGACTAATAAATAAAATGCATCAAAAAAATTGGATCAGTTAATCGTATTTTCCAATTTATGAGATATTTAAAACAGCAATAAAATTGGTACTTTTTCCCTGCACATTCTGTGCAATAATGACCGCTAGGTTTCACAGCAGATTTTTCTGTGCGTTACATACAACCGTTATTCCACACTCATTTAATATACCCTATTCACTCTTCGAGTACCGGGTTTAAAAAATACAACTGCATCGCACAGAATAGTGTGGAGATTGGAAAAATACATACAAATTAATACTCATTAGGTCCAGTAAGAAATACATCGACAGACTCCACAACCACGAAAACAATTTAGCCTTAAGTCTATTAGACAATAGCCTAACAGTAGGAAGACTGAAAAGATACCACATTCTCGATATCCCTGATAGATAAATCCAACAAACTAAAAATATGTTATATATAATAGCAGGGCTCATTGGAAAACTGCTATTTCTGTTAATTGAATATTAATTGTACAATTTACTTATTGTTTAAAAACAGATTGTAAATATAAAGAGAGAAAAAAAAAATTAGGTCCAGCGGCTGAAACAGTGTTTTCATTTCGTGTTATATGCCGTGCGCATTGACACGGAAGATCGCTGTGAAACGCAAAAGCTCATGAGTAAACAGTATACATTTTTATAAGACGTGTCAATTCCATATTCTGATACTAATTATGTTCATTTCACTTTAGCTGCAGTACGCACTAACTTGAGGGGACACATGCAGGACGCGGAATACAATCGACTAAGATACAGCAACTATACTAAACAAACTTAACCCACACATTCTCATACACGAGTCCAATTTCAGACAATCTTAAGTCCACTCATTCCAGATATAATTCAACAATTTAAATATATCCATCCAATACTAAATATAAGATAACACTATAAACAACACACACACTATATTAGCTAATAAGAATAAGTACACTTTGTCACACACACACACATACACAATAATGAACAAAATTAAAAACAGATTAGATGAATAACATTAACAGAGTCAAGAAGTTAACCCCCACAACTAGAAGCAAGACAAGAAGTGCAGTTAGTCTTGAAGATATCAGGGAAATTCATATCGAACAAGATTTAATTCGAGACCCGACTAGTTCAACAACCATGACATCGAACCCAAGTCCACCCCAACCCAACCAATTAGCCTGTACCACCAACACAATGGACGTTTTTTCTTCATTACCAATTCCAGACGCAATTCGTTTTCTCCCAAGCATTCACGGAATACCCAAAAATCTCATATGCGATCAAGGATCAGAATTTGCAGGCAGAATTTGTATTGACTTTTTCTTACAATACGACATACAACATCATTTCAACAATCTTCAAGTAACTCCCCGGTGGAGAGATTACATTCGTCCCTAACCGAAATCTACAGAATAATTTACGAATCAAGAAAGAAAGAAAAACTCTCAAGTGATCATGATGAGATACTTTGGGAGACATTAATCACAAACAACAACGCTATTTATTCTGCAACTAACTTCAAACCATTCTTACTATTTTCGGAAAAAACCCACATATTCGAGAAAACAGCTCAATTTAACAACGAACACGAATACCTACAAAGATTAAACACGTTCCAGGAGAAACTATACCCAGATATTAGAGACAAATTATTAAAGATAAAACAAGACAGAACTTCGAATATTAACAAAGACAGAATTCAACCCCAAAACCTAGAAGTATACACAATAGTTTTCAGAAAAGAAAATAGAAGAAATAAATTAACTCCACGCTTTTCCGAACATAAAGTTCTAGAAGACACCGGTCCTACCATAATATCAGCCAAACGACAGAAAATATACAAATCAAAACTAAAGAACAGAACCAATACCACCAACCCTAACGATCATCCAATTTAAAAATAAATACTTAAAGATTTCCACTTGTTTTCGGACAATCACTCAACGTTCAACGACTTTACCAGGGAGACCCCTGGCAAAACTAGAACTAGGTACGGCTCAGGTAATCAATTCTTAAAAGGTACTCTCACATTGCATTTAGACACAAGATCTTAGAGAAAGCATACTTAGATCAATTTGAAACCACACTTAAACTTAAAGGGTATCAAATTCTCGGAAGAGCTTTAGATATTTAAAAAAAAACATTGTCATAATTAAAAGAAAGACTCAACATTGTAATGCCAAAACAAAGACAAAAGAGAAGACTAGTTAATGGCCTAGGAACCATTGTCAAACAGATCACCAGGAACATGAAATCGGTATATTCAAGTTATAATTATTGAAAGACATGAAACATTTGTTAGATTCCAAAACATTAGCAGGCACATTAGCTAGGAACAAGAAACAATTACCCTATTTAAAAAAAAAAAGAAGCATATAATAGCATACACGAATATTGTAAAACATTTAGTAATAAGTGTACATAGTAGTGTAAGTTGTACATATGATGTCAACTGCCTAAAAGAAATTCTAAACGGAGAAGTAGCAACCTGCGACGCAACAGGGGCAGGTGCACAGGAACAAACTTTGGAACCTATAAGAGGGTTCAAATTCATCTTTAACACCAAGAATACGAAAATTTCAGCAACCTGTCACCAACCATGCAGATAGACGGCTCTGCTCTAGTCAAATATAACAACTGCGTGGTCATGATCAATGAATTAAGCTACGACAATCACTTAGTCGAACAATTCGGAGTTACCGTCACGGTACCCCCCTTCTAAACCCCTTCGAGCAAACGACGTCTGGCAGGTCACTTCGGCAACATCCGAGTGGATGCCAGACACCTGGCAAACGACACCTGGCAGACGACATCTGGCCAACGACTTCTGGCAATGCACTTCGGCAACACCCGAGTGGATTCCAGTTTTTGAGTTGTTGAGGGTGGTTTGACACAGATACTCAACCGAGCCTATTGTACCGGCATTGATTCTGATTAAATAAACCATAAATAATTAAAACACTACCACAGCGTGTACTTATTCGTAACTCCCGCTAGCCGATCCAGCGTGCGGCCAGTTGTAAGATTTCGAGTAAGATACATTTTAAATAAATAAAACAAAACTCTACGCCAACTTTAACTTGAAAAATTTGAATCAAAATATCTGTATTGCTTTTAAATGGAGTTTGTAAGGGGAAGACGGTGTAGATAGGCCAATATTAACATGTGAGCTTCTCACGAAAATTTCCGCAACGAGAACGAACCGGCGAATAACTATGTACACCGTTAAAAATTATTGTAAAATCGTTCGTTTTTAGAAAGCAAAATAAAGCAACACGGAAATTTAAATATTTACATATTTGTACTTACGAGTATGTACGCCATTGCAGTATCCCTATCCCACTTGAGCGCACTCTGAAGACACCCTGGGAACATCAGAGAGGAGGCAAGGAAGCACTCACACACCATGCAAGATTCCAGAGCAAACCAATTGTATTTTCCATACGGATTTGCATGATTTAAAAGAACATTAAAGTTGAACAACGGCGTCAAAAACAATAAAACAGTGCAACAAAAAATCGATAAGATGTTGAAAACAGGACAGAAGCCTTACCAGAACTTTGATAAAATAAAACCATATATGTATACATGTGTACATACTTACGGTATAGTAGATAGTAAGAGAGTTACACTCAATTCAAAATTGGTACACAGTGTTTGTGTTTATTGTTGTTATATCATATTGGTAGTTTATTTAATTGTCATTTACAATAGTTTTGGAGACCGAACGATTTGTTTTCCAAGTATTCATAAGCTTATAAAGTTTAATTTCGGCTTAATGTTATTCATGGTTAATTTTATTGGCAGACAGTCGATTATATAATCGTCTAATACAAATCTTTTCCATTGAACAAAGGCAATCTTAATATTCATTCTAATTCTTTGAGAGTGGCTTTTCATTTATATTTTGTTTTCATTTATCTTGCATTTTTTTTGTTTAAGGTATTCAAAGTGTTTTGTGTGTCCTTGTGTCCTGTTATTGGAATTCTNCTGTCCGTCCGTCCGTCTTGTTTGTCGGCTAGTTCTCAAAAACTATAAGAGCTAGAGCCACCAAATTTTGCATCCAGACTGCTGTATGCTCATACTGAAACCAGTGTATTTCAAAAATGAGCCCCGCCCCCATCCGCCCCCGCAAAAGAGCGAAAACCTCTCAAATCTACAATTTTGAAGATAAAAGGAAACTGTTTTCAGTGTGAGCATATAGCAGTCTGGATGCAACATTTGGTGGCTCTAGCTCTTATAGTCTCTGAGAACTAGCCGAGAAACAAGACGGACGGACGGACAGACAGACATGGCTCAATCGACTCGGCTATTGATGCTGATCAAGAATATAAAGACTTTATGGGGTCGGAAACGTTTCCTTCTGTGTGTTACATACTTTGTGCACAAATACAATTTACCCTATTTACTCTTCGAGTACCGGGTATAAAAATTTGTATCAAAATATCTGTATTGCTTTTAAATGGAGTTTGTAAGGGGAAGACGGTGTAGATAGGCCAATATTAACATGTGAGCTTCTCACGAACATTTCCGCAACGAGAACGAACCGGCGAATAACTTTGTACACCGTTAAAAATTATTGTAAAATCGTTCGTTTTTAGAAAGCAAAATAAAGCAACACGGAAATTTAAATATTTACATATTTGTACTTACGAGTATGTACGCCATTGCAGTATCCCTATCCCACTTGAGCGCACTCTGAAGACACCCTGGGAACATCAGAGAGGAGGCAAGGAAGCACTCACACACCATGCAAGATTCCAGAGCAAACCAATTGTATTTTCCATACGGATTTGCATGATTTAAAAGAACATTAAAGTTGAACAACGGCGTCAAAAACAATAAAACAGTGCAACAAAAAATCGATAAGATGTTGAAAACAGGACAGAAGCCTTACCAGAACTTTGATAAAATAAAACCATATATGTATACATGTGTACATACTTACGGTATAGTAGATAGTAAGAGAGTTACACTCAATTCAAAATTGGTACACAGTGTTTGTGTTTATTGTTGTTATATCATATTGGTAGTTTATTTAATTGTCATTTACAATAGTTTTGGAGACCGAACGATTTGTTTTCCAAGTATTCATAAGCTTATAAAGTTTAATTTCGGCTTAATGTTATTCATGGTTAATTTTATTGGCAGACAGTCGATTATATAATCGTCTAATACAAATCTTTTCCATTGAACAAAGGCAATCTTAATATTCATTCTAATTCTTTGAGAGTGGCTTTTCATTTATATTTTGTTTTCATTTATCTTGCATTTTTTTTGTTTAAGGTATTCAAAGTGTTTTGTGTGTCCTTGTGTCCTGTTATTGGAATTCTTAAGCATATTTTTGTTGTTTTTTGTTCACTGTTTTTCCAGTTGTTTGGTATAATTTCTTTTTTTCGGATACATAGACTAAAGTCGACAAACAACATAATTTTACGTATATTTTTGTATTCATATATGCATGTTTGTTTGTATGTATGTTTGGGTATGTAGTATATATGTGGGTATGTAGTTTTTTAATGTTTAAACGTTAAACGAGTGATTTTATATGTATACAAATTGTGTATATACTCTCATACATCGCTTAACGGCCTAATTGTTCAATAAAAAACAAAAACTTGAAGACTTTCAATTAGGAAACAAAAAACTACTTCAAATATCTAGCGATTAAATTATACAGGAAAATAGTTCGCTGGACTTTTGTATTCAATGTCCAATATTCGATGTTCCGACATATAATGGTTCAAGCATCGAACATCTTAATGGACAAAGTAAGGATACAAAATAAAAATCACATAACTAAAGCTTCAAAAAGAGATTCCAAGTGTTCATAGGAAGTGTATGTTGGGTGTGACTAGAATAATAAATGTATCCAAATTGCAGTTAAGCCAGGTATGAGGGTATGAACGAAGTGAAGTGCATATATTTATATATATATAGCAGTTTATTTTACTTATGATTACATGCCTGTATGAAAATGAACTTGTTGGTGTTTGTGTTTGTTTGTAGCTTAAACCACATTTTGTTTTGTTTTTGTCTTTGTTTTTCTTTCAGAATAAGATGATGATAATTTGTTGTTACTATATGCACGTATACAACTGCACTTAAATAACTTATTTTTGGGGAGGTATCTTTAAAATGAGAAATTATCACTGATCATCTATGTATGTATCTATATTTTTCACTTTCTCATACCGGGAATAAGTTTGTCGCAGTTTTTCATAGATTCATTATTGATTATAATCTTACAACATTAAATTTAAAATCAAATACGTAATGCATATTTTGGTTTGACTTTTATTGTATTTGTAGATAAAATAATAATATTTTTGTAATCTCCGTACAATCGCAGAAGGATGAAAATTTTGTTTTCTTCCTTCAAACAACAAACAGTATTAGATTTACATTTTGATGAATGTTCTGCATTTAATCTGGGAAGAAACTTTTAGTGACGTTTTCGTATCCCTTGGCATTTATCTATGTAGCTCAGCGGTGCTGATGCTGCCTCACATTCAATGTCGAAAATAAATGATGGTAATGAGATCTGAAAGTGTTCGATATTCTTTTGAGCAACTCTTCATTCAACTCTTCCGATTTTCGTTTTTATTAGATTCTATATACTATATACGCTATAGTGCTGCTATTTCATCAACTTTTTTTAGATGAGGGAAAGAACTTTGTCAAAATCTATGGGTCTCTAAATTGATGATAAGTTGTTTAGCAGTGACGGGTGTTTCTGATAAGAACTATATTTCGATCAATCTGCTTCGACTAATTATACCCGTTACTCGAAGAGTAAATAGGGTATATTGTATTTGTGTGGAATAACGGTTGTATGTAACGCACAGAAGGAAGCGCTTCCGACCCCATAAAGTATATATATTCTTGATCAGCATCAATAGCCGAGTAGATAGAGCCATGTCTGTCTGTCCGTCTGTCCGTCCGTCCGTCTT